GAAAATTTAAACTTTCGAATCTTCTCCTTTCATGGATGTCACGTTCATTGTAAGCTTGTTTAGATCAGTGTAATTTCAGGCTTCCTCTATGTCAAATGTATTCACTCTTTGAATAATTGAAGAATTATATGTGTCTAAATGAAACTACTACCCCGAATGAAAAGAACTCTAAATCAAATTACATCACAGTTTACTCGTTGGTTACATCAAATGAAGCATTCCATTAATTTTTAACCATCTAACAATCATCTCTCTATTTGTTCTCCCATTTGATACCGATCACCGATCGATTTCTGGAACCGCGACGACGATCCACTCGAAATGAAGGGCCGCAGAACGAGAACGTAAATAAAATACGATATCGATCACAATCGGTACGACAGAAACGGCAGACTTTTTAAAATACACCATCGAGGGCAATCGCTGCTTTCACGTGGCACGGCCAGCAAACGTATCAGCGTCGCACGCCGCGATATCCACTCCCCGATCAAAGCAACGATCTGCGATTTTTTTTCGAGATGTTCACCGACTGGAAATAGAGGACCGCCTGTAAACCACTGTTCCCTGTCCGATTGTTAATCATTTTTCCCAGAGAGCATCGATGATAAAAAAAAAAAAAAGGACCAAGCACACGTTTCTCTGTTTTCCTTTGGCGGATGTTGGTCCATGCTTCAACGATAAATTCGCTCCCATCGTACGGAATGCTGATCGAAATCGACGTCAGAGATCGAAGAAGGATACGCAACGCTCGATATTCCCTGTTACGGGCATTATTGCGCGTGGGCAATCGTGAATTTATGTCGCTTTTCAAATGAAATCTTTGCTCGATCGAGCTGCTCACGAAGTTGGATCTTAAGAGAATGCCCCGACCCTACTTCGATCACCGTATCGAAATTTTCGTTCGACGAGTTGAAATTCGAGTGGGAGTTTCGAGATTTATGTTGGGAAATTTTCGCTTGAAATTAAAAACAGATGATCAGTTACTTGAAATATAAAGAAGACCCGTGCATTTCACAGACATCGTTCAAAGTCTACAGAAAGTATAATACAACCTCCACGAAAAATAGTAAATTGTTTTAATCATCGAAACGAGTCAGTTTCAGTGTTTAAAATTTGAGAACTTCTGCGAATTTAATGCCTTATCGTGAAATTAAATTAACAATTAAATTAACAATAACAGACTATCTTTCCCTGAAGAATTTTTTTATCTCCTGATTTATTCTCTGATATGAACTCTTTCCCGTGAAAATATTATTTAATACAGAAGAGAGAGGAGGGGATTTAATAAAGGAAAGGAAATGTGTACCGAGTGTAGAAATATGAAGAGCAGAGTGAAAAAGTTTATGAAACTTCTCTCGCGTTAAGAGACTTATGCTCACTCACACGAACCTTCCTAATCGTATCGGACGAATGTGATAACGAGACAATTCATTTCCAATTTCGCACGACTCCGATAAGTTCAACGCACCTACCAAGCCGTTAAACTTACAATTGACCGACCATTATTTTAATCCTTTCGACGTCGCAGATCTAAATATATACAAATTCTTTGCACTACCGCTACCGTAAATAGGAAATATCGATTTAACCTCGAATCGGGAGCAACTATTTCCAAGCAAATATTCCTCTATTTCTGTCACGTACGGAGCGTGTAGCGTTAATTAAGAAGATTCAAGTAAAAATAAACGCGTCGCGTATTTGCATTAAACGGAAAAAAATTTCTTTCTATCTTTTTTTTTTTTTCTTTTCTTTTCTTTTCTTTCTTCCACCCGGCTCGAGTCTCATCGGGGTTGACACAAGGTGTTGCACAAACACGGCGATGTTTCCGTTAACATTTCCGTATAATAATCCTCGAAATAACTGACGGTGTACAAGCGTGTAAAAAGCAGCCACTTCTCGCGTTCCCGATGATAAATCATTCTTTATGGCCCGCACATTTGCAAGAATATTTCTTGCAGAAACGTCCGCGCTTCTGGCACGCGTGAACCTCCAACAGTTGCACTCGCGCACGTTACCCCGATGTGAAATAGTGGAAACGGTTCGCTTTAAAGAAACACAATGCACACCACATTGAGAAAACAATTTCGCGTTTATATAACAAATCCCCTATTGCGCGGTGTTATCGAAACACCATCGATATTATGACGTAGGTCGCGTTATTTTACGAAGCACGTCTGTTTTCAACTTGAGGGGTTTTTGTTTGAAATTACAAAAGAAAAGACATCTCGAGTTCCACGTTCGAAGTATGTACATTATATTTAGAGAAACGTTCTCGATCCACTATCAAATTTCAGAATCTTTTCTTTTTAATCGATACTGCTTTCATTCGTATCCACAAGTCGTTGAGCTTCCAAGCTTCCAGTTGTTCATTCTTCCGCTATTTCATTAATCACATTTGAAAAGTTTGCAACCTGTAAGAATTAGATTCCAACGAAGGAAATAAATACGTGGACATAATGTGCCTTTGATAAGAAACAGTACATTGGAAATCGATAAATCAGGCTGTACGTTTTATTACTAGCCTCTAGTAACTCATTTATCATCTCCATCCCTGTCGGCCTGTTCGATCGTTCCGTTCAGATCCCCCAAGTAAAGTAATCCTTTTCTTTCGAAAAACTTTGAAAATTCACCCAACCATAAATTTGATCTCTCCTTGAGTGTTACGCGTCGAACTCGCGTGGCAAAAGTCGAATTTCGTTAAGGGACACAGGTGCGATAGAGGAAAAAGCAGAGCCCCGCGACCGAACGAACGAACGAACGAACGCGAGATAAACGATTCGAGGGAAGCTTGGTTCGAGAATAGCAGCTGGCAGAAATAGAGGAATAACTTCGCAACGGAACGCCAACAAAGCTCTAGCGGACAGCTGTACCCACGGCCTCGCGATATTAATGTCACGAGAAAAAGAAGGATCAAGAGTTGAGAGAAAGGGGACACAGCCGAAAGAGGAACGAAGATTCCGTAACAATCTCTTCGCGGGCCTGCTAGCGCGATTTCGCGAAAGAAATCCTTCTTCTTTTCTTTTCTTTATTTTTTCATTTTTGCTCGGTTCTCTCGGAAATGTTTCTTTCTCTAAAACTTTATGAGTCAATGCAGAGATATATAAGAAATATGTGTAACGGAATATGAAAATTTAAGGTACATGAAATATGTGTGTATGACGGAACTATACATCGTAGCCAAAAGAAAGTAAATTATAATATTAACGAATACACATATACGATGTTAAAATTTTGACTTTTCTTTTGATCTTGATATATGAAATATATACGTGATAAAAGTATATAAAAGAAAGTAAATTACAATATTAACAAATACACTTATTGTACGATATTAAAATTTTGACATTTCTTTTGATCTTGATATATGAAATATATACGTAATAAAAGTATATATAGCCAAAAGAAAGTAAATTATAATATTAACAAACACTATTAAAATTTTGACTTTTCTTTCGATTTCTTCGCCGTTGTCCACAGAAATGCAAGTTTGCATAAACCTTCGCGGTCGAATCGTGATCAACGAGCGATCGACGAATGTAACACAAAAAGGGAATACACCAACGCGAGCATACGCGCGCATAAATTATCCGGCGACATAATTGCGCAATTCAATCAGCGTCTACCGAATCGTGTATTAGCGCATTGATGAATCGCGACGAGGAACGAAGTCCTCGAATTTAAATCGCAAATGTAGCCTTTGTCTTGTTCCTTTTTTTTTAACTCTCTCGTTGAAACTTCGCGACGAACGACGTTCATTAACGAGTCGAGCAGATTTTTAATTCGATTTCGTCGTAGATATCAGTAGAAACGTAGAAAACAGAGAAACACGCCTATTCTACCGTGAACTTGTCGTGAAAGAATGTTCATAAATTCGGTCTGAAGCCATAAATCTATTCAAGGACGAACTGCCAAGCAAAAGCGCGATAAATCTGCCGAACGTACAGAAGCGATAAATCCAGGATCCAAATTTACATTTGCTTAGTCGCCTCGTGTATCGCGAGAGTGAAATTCATAATATATACCACTCTAAGAAAATAAACTTCTCGAGAGTAAGATGTAATATTTTCTAACTCGAATCAAACGACTATGCAGACTGCGAGAAAATGAATTTAAATTTAAATAAATGTAAAACTTTGGTCTACACAAAGTACGATATAATGTGGTAGTATACAACATACAATGTAAAACTATTATATATGTTCCACGAAATTTTAAATAATGAATTGTTCCAATCTCTACACCCCAGAGCTGGCTAACTGGCGGCCTTTTCGCCCCACTCTCTTGATTGCTAACCCTTCCATTGCATGTAGAGAGATCCATGCAGTGGAGGGGATAGTTCTAGAGATCAGGAAAGTAGGGACAAGGGTTTGCAGGCCGCCAGTTAGCCGACTTTTGCTGTATGCGAATGTTTGATCGAATAATGGATGAAACTCTCCATTGTCAATACCATCACTTTCAACTGAAGACTCGTTCTTTAGAAGAGGACAATCTTCGAACAATCTTCAATTTGTATAAATAACATTCCTTCATTTCTCAAATTGCGGATGTTTCTTTGAAATGAATAACAATTAATAGCAACTTCACGTTTCGATTAATTTACAATTAACCATCCCAGTTGTACTTCGTCAACACACGTCATTACAAACGATCATTACCAAAAGATTATTAATCGTTAGATTTTTAATTGGAACAAATAGTTACGATTGATCCTCGATAATCAGAATTTCGCTTTCTTGTAAAAAGAGAACGAATTGATCATAATTATTTGCTTGTACAATGGAGATAAACAGGAACGCGCTTCAATCTCTGATACAAAACTCATATTCGAGAATATTTCTTGAAATAAAAGACTATTTCCAAGCTAAAAAGTCTCGAGCTGAAAATCATGTAGTTTTGAACTACGACTGCCTTTAATTAAGATAATACAAGAACGCGGATCATCGTATCACTAATTGTTTAATACACGTTCGGCAGAAATAAATAAGAAAAGAATGACTCACCCAGATGATCCTGCTCCCTCTGAACCTTGCCGGGCTCGACGATCAGCAGACACCAGATGGACACCAGGGACACCGACGAAAGCAATTTTCCCAATATTCCCATTTCTCTTCTTCCGGGCTTCCGTTTCGAAGCGATGAAAACACGGATCTCGCCGGCACGGAACACGCGCGCGCGCACACGGAAATGTCAAATCAGCCAAGGAGACACTGACTTTCGTCTTGGCCGGGTTAATATTTTCCCCATTCGTTTTCTTTTCTTCTCGTTTGCCTCTCCGCGCCTGTCAAACCCCTGTCTCACCCCTTCCTTTTCCACGTGAATTTCGCGCCACCCGTTCCGGGTCGCTGGATTGAAGCGGAGTCGATTCACACGACGACGCGCACTGCAAAAGAGAAAATGGCTTTTTGTTACGGAATGTGGCTGGTAGAGAAATGTAATGGTGATTTTTCTTTTAATTTTAACAGCTAGTTGAGAACTAACTAGTGAACATTGGCAAGCATAACGATGTAACTACGATTGATAATTAGTGATGTATTCTTGCTCATTGTTTATAATTGTTGACTTTGTGCCAAATTTTTAATTCTTTTCTCTCTTAACAAGACTATTACTGCAACATTGCATTATATTGTGAAGTTATATCTTATTTGCGTGTCGTTGCTCGGAATATTCAATTGCGTCACGCCTTTCGTCAGAAATTCCAAATCAAATCAATTATAATTTGGAAATTGTACGAATCGTTGCGAAAACACGGGACACCGTTATCTATTACTAAACTATCCCAAACTGGAACACGTGTTGGATAATTTCTATTGAATATGTTGTATGATTAACCGCGAGAGAATTTTCACGGGATCAGAAATTCACGAGAACATACGCTTTGATTCTCAGTATAAATTTTTACTCGACATCGAGCAAATAATTTCGATTCGACCGTATCCTTGCGTCAGCACGTATGCAACGAAGATTTCAGCGACAATGAAAATTTATGAATGTGTAACATGTACATAAAACGAGATACACATGAAAAATTTAAATTCCAAAGCTTCTAAATATCTACGTAGGTGAAAATTGTTCCAGCTAAACCAGTTTCTTCAATAATTTCGATGTCACGAAACAAACAGTTCCGATTCAACCTGGTACATGTTTCAGGCACGTTTCAAAATATATACGCTCTATGATGTACAAACGTCATAGGGAAAAGCCATAATTAAAATATGGATAATTAAAATATAGATTTCACAGTTTAAAAGGAATTTTGTAGAGACGAAATTACAGGAGTTCGAAGATCGACAATTTTTCAGTTATTCTTTCTTACAATTCAGTAATTCTTTCTAGTATTTATTTCACAACGAAAATATCGTCATAATTTAAATCAGTAATTTATCTTGATCAAGATTTTAGCTATTTTGCGGGTTCTAGAAGATCCGAGGATCCTGTCTGTTTTATGTTTTCCCTTTAACATGAATTTTATTGTATAACAGAATAAAGATTAACAAGACCGCGTCAAAGTCTCTCCACCATTGGTTTCGCGCGCCACGTTATTCTCGCATCCGGTATCCGTGATAATTATGCTTAACGCGTCCCTGTTTTTCAACACTCTTTCGAACATTTTGGGTAACGAAAGGGTTTAATGGGTGAACTTCGGTAATAGGATTACGACGCGCGATGGCTGTGCGTTGTCCCAATTTGTAATTCGATTCTGTGGGAATTTTCACCGTGCGTTCTCCCTGTGACGCCGCGCCGGAAGTCTCGATTTGCATGTTATTGATCTTGCACGGTGTTTTTATCCAACATGGAGATTCTGTGTAACGCGCAAGTTTCTGTAAATTCCTTTTCTGTCTTGCAATTGCAGGGGATCATATCGTATAATAGTTCTAATTGTAATTGCAAGTCCATTGATCAAAGACCAAATTCGCCATAGCGCTACGAACGTTTCCTCCTTTCACACTTTCTGAAACGTGGGTCGATAAACAAATATTAACGAATACCTTGGTGTACAATTTTTGTCTTCTGCTTTCCGAGTTCGAAATTTCGAATCACAGATCACAAATTGCATCGATATGTACCCGCTTAGTGAATAATTCTCAGTTCGATCGATGTTGAAACACTCGTTCAGAGATCATTCCCTTCTCAAACCACAAGACACGACAACGGTAGAAATTTCTGGCGATAATTATGCGCGGACTGGTCGCGGAAAGCACACGACGTCCGAAAATGACGTTGCTTCCCTGTCGGGGGACGGTTTGTGCCGTCGATTACGTACCGCGAGAATTCCACACGTCCATTTTCATTGCTCGAACGCCACGAATACCCGGGATTTCCAACGAAATAATAGAAACGTCGATGCAAGGCGTTCGTTCCGCTCGGTTACCGCTGAATTCTTCCACCGAAACGTTCCCTTTTTATTTCCGGAATTCGCGCGAGCGATAATTCGCACTAACGAGCGAATCGTGACGTTGTCCGTCACTTCGTTGTCGTTTTCGAAATTTATAAATAAACGGAACGAATAATTGATCACTTGCTTCGATCTTCAAATGAAAAAGAAAAAAAAGTGAGAAATATTTTTCACCCTCAAGTAAACTACGAATGTTTAGGCGAATTTCTGAATTTCGGAAAATCATTCACAATTATCCAGAGTGTATCGTTTCCTGTGAATATCAATAAAAATTTCAGCTCCCGTCGTTTTCGTTCCTTCGTAAGATAAATCATAATTGCTATTGTTGCAAATGTTGCTGATTTGAACAGAGCTTCTCACAATTTTTATTCGGTCCTGAAATTAAATTATTAAATTTTTACGAAGTGCAAATTTTCAATTTCATCATCCGAATAAACATCATTACCCACGAATGTCAGAGTATAATGGTAAAAATGATCGCTTTTCAAAAATTTCAGCTTTCATCCAGTTCATCGTTCCCCAAGATAAACAGCAAATTGTTGTCTCGAGTTTCTTTCAATTTCTATTCGCGCGTTTTATTAAATTAAATTTCCGCGGAATGCAAATTTCAAATTTTACATTACAACAATAGGTATTAATATATTCAACATTATAAAATATTTAACATCATGGAATGACGTGCTACGCACGTCGAGAATTTTTTGTCCCAAATTGCAACATTTTCTCAGTTCGAAGTATATTTAAATGTGACCCAGGCAAACAAATGATAAGTTTATTACGTTTTAATAATTTCTATCCAGTGATATCATACCGACGAGTTCAAAAGAGAAAGAAAACGAATAAACAAATTATTGTATACGGTATTCGGTCACTCGTTATGGTTCGCGAAAGAAAGTCGAAAACACCTCGCGATCAAGACAAATTTCAAATGTAACTTGATAAACGATGGACGTATGAACGTGATCAATTGACACGAGCCCGCTATGAGACTCGAGTCTCGATTTCCAGCGCGGCCATCCACAACGGTTGAAAAATCGGTCACGCTTGTGGACGACCGACAGAGAAACCGGGACAAAAGAAGCAAGATCTTGTTTCTCGTCGAAGCGGGAACGCAAGCCTGCTGGCGCGCTCGTGCTTTTAGAGCGCGAGTAATTCACCGGTTTTGGAGAACTCGTCCCTCGAGGCGTTAATATGACGTGCTTGCGAGGAGACGTACAGCCTCGCCCCTAATGAGATTAAAAGTTATCGAGATTCCGGCGGATGTGCATTAAACATATTAAACGGCAACCCAGCCGCCGACGCGCATTGTCCTCCGTCGAGCACGTCGTATCGATAAATGCACGCCGGACGTAACCGGGAATCACGGATTATAATTAATTTAAATGGCGAACGGGTGACACGTTGCTTTTTCGATCGGCCACCGAGGGCACGTTCGCCCGCGATAGCTTTTTAATGCGCCTCGCGTCCTGTCGGTCGAATTTCCACTGAATGACGTGTCGACCGTATTTATGCTCGTTCACCTCGTGTTTATTAATGCGAAATGTTACTGCTACAGGACTCCAAAAGTTGCATTCTGCGTCGGTACAGCCGACGACTATCGACTTCGTGTCATACGAAGAGCTACGGCCCGTATCGATCAACTGCGTGAACTGGCAGATAGAGAGAAGTGATTGTGTCATAAACACTGCTTTTTACTCTAGAATTTGTGTTAAAAAAAAGGAAATAGTTCTTTCTTTCTTTCTTTTGGAGAAACTGAACGTTAATCGTGTACTTGTAAGGAATTGATAAAAATGTGATTAGACTGGTGTTGAATTGTTGAAATAGTGATATAAATTAAATAAACAATCATATTTGTCAAATTTTGTTCGAGTGATTTCATTTTTTAACACTATGACAGACAGGAGAGAAGTTATAAGACAAATGACACGCGATGATCTATAATTATCTATGACAGAATTATATTTACTGCATCATTATCATTTATTCATAAATTTTAGATATAATGTACATCTAAAATATTGCAATTTTAAACTCTCCTTCAGTTGGCCACTCTATATCGAAGACGGATTAAAATATGAAAAATTTGTAGAATATTTAATTTCTCAAACTCTCAATTATGTGTCGCCAATTTGCTTTCCAGGCGCATCTACACATCTCTAAATTCTAAATATTAGCAGTTTAAATCTCTTTTTTTTTTCACGAATAAGAATAAACCTAACGACACTGACACTTTTAATCGATCTTCTCTATTCGTAGAAAACTTAGCAACAGAGGCTTGCATCAACGTTTCCTTCGATTTATATAGACTCGCAGCCTCGATTCTCGAGGCAACACGAGTTTAAAGGGTGAAAGAGCGAGGAACTTCAAAGAGAGATATTCCAGGCGAGGGAAAGAAAAAGAAAGATGTTAACCGTTGGTGAATTGGTCCGTCAGCTTTTCGCATCCCTAAAATAATAAAGTTCTTCCGCATCGTATCCTTTCCCTCGGTATAAATTGGACAAATATTTGTCCCGTTCACCAGGAGAGTAACTTAATCTTCGACAAGAGAAACAACCTTCGTGCTTTCTGCACCGACTTTTGTCCCGAGAAAACGATTTCTCTTTTCTCTGTTGAATATTTGGCGAATACCAGCGTGTTAGAGTGAAGCTCCAACGAAACAAGTGGCAAGTTAAACGATATTAACTTGTGAACCATGCAGATAGTTTACCCGACGTTTGGCGATAATAATGACGAATTTTGTTCGTTTTTACAATGTGATAACAGTGTTACGAATCTCGTTAGTGACTACTGCTTCTATTTTATTTCTATTTCGTTATTTTCAGTAATATTGTCGATGCGTTAAATTATCTACAATTAATCAAGTATTTCTATTTCAATAAGCCTGTAAACTTTTTTACACATTTTCTGGAAAATTTTTAATTCGCAGAAAACTTTAAAGTACACTGTCCTTTGTTTTATGAAACTTGACACGCGAAATAATTTTCCAC